GACACAGAGCTTTGCATAGGAAGAGTCGCAGGTGGACGTTTCCACCTGCCACACTTGCAGGATGCCCGTTTAAGACCACCCCGTCTCGTACCATGGAAGAGACCGAGGATGTCGAGGAGGAGCTGCCACGTTCTCGTTCCCGATCTCGGGACCGCTTAGAATCAAATCTGGTGCCGCGGACATGCCGCTTTTGTGGGAAGCACACCATCTGTGAATTTGGCCGAGAAGAGAATCTATGCAGCAGGAGTGTGCCAGACTTGGAGCTGTTTTCCTGATATTTGGTGAAACGAGTCTTTGTGGGGAGTGTGTTGTGGAGACAGTAGCTAGTGAAACCGATCATTCCACCCTGTAGGAGGTGCTACAATCAAACCATGAAGGGATGCGATGTTTTGCTTTGGGATGGTGGCGAAGCCAAGAACTGGCTACACACTGAAGGCTGGGCTGCACGCTGTCCGCCGAAATTGGGTGAAAACTGTTTGCATTTGTTTGTGGTATCCTCAAAAAGGATTCCTGAGCATTCTTTAACACAGTGTGATATATTGTGATTCCATGCAAAACTGTGATACACTTACAAGGGCATGCATACCCGTAGTTAGCTCAATGTTTGCCTTTGAACACTGAGCTTTCAGAATCTGTGCACAAGGCTTGAGCAAATGGAGTCGGCAAATCGATGTGGCACATGGCCATCAGCTTCTCACCAAGATGACGGAAGGCACTCTTGGAAAAGCTGGCGTACCTCAAATGAAAGCCAAGGATGCCATAAAGACCATCGCATCTTGCCGCAGTTTTGACTGGGGAATGACTGGTGTGCTTTTGGAGTCACGTTTGACCGGCCATTTGAAGAAAGCCACGTGAAAGAGATTGGGCAGGATTGTCAGGGAGTATATTATCGGGATCCAGCCAATGAGTTTGAATGCGGTCGGCCTTAAACTATTTGTTTTCATTTGTACCGTGCTTGCTTCAAGACTGGGTGCTTTTAATGTCCGTGAGTCCGAGAGTATGATAAGTTTGTCAGTTTGTTTCTTCTCTATGATGGCATGGGTGGCAATGTGCTGTGTTATTGCTTTAGCATCGCTGTGTAATCATGTTTAAATGTAGCATGTGATAGCGAACGCTGTTTTTCACGATGCAGCATCAGGAAGAGTTACGTCAGGGCGCCTGGGCGCAAATTGAACCTCCTCGCAAGGAGCTCCCCTTGGAAACAGTTGCCGAGATGGGATTCAAAGGCCATGCGAGGATGAAACTCAAAGTTGCTTCTTTGCATCAGGATCAACCGATGGAGAATATACACCCCTATCATCCCCTATCCGTTTATATAGGTTAATATCATTGCTTATGCATGTAATAATGTGAAGTTCATATATTGTGAATCTTTTGCAGTAGAACGTGGGGCTTGTGTTTGATCCAGGCTAGAGTTAAAGCTCTGTGTCAGGTGACTGGGAGATGGTCATCGAGGACAATCCCCTGCGCTCGTATGCAGCCGTTTGCCGACAAGCAATCGACAGTGACCTCGCCTGGAAGTGGTTCGAAACGTGCCTAGCTCGCAGAATATTGGGTGAACAGGTGGTCCAGCAAGTGTTCGGTAAGTCTTGCTTTCCAAAACTGGGGATGGGTAGTAACTTGTAGCGGAGGACCGCCTTTGATTTGAGATCTCTCGTTCATAGTTGCTGCGGAGAATCTTGGATATGAAGCACATCGATGGTAGCCTTCCTTTGCAGACTTGCTACTGACAGGTATATGTTTGAGTATCATATTCTCACAGTCACGGGTCTGAACTTATTCTATGATGACCCTTTGATAAAGTATTGTCCCGAGGTTGCAGACGCAGCTGCCATGGCAGGACCCTACGGACGAGAAATACCAGAAGAATGGCAAGACGATCGCAAGACGAACCATTTTTGTGGTGGATCAGGGGTGCAACTGCAACTGAGCTGCGTTCAAGACCTTTAGTCTTTCGGGAGTTTTTCACAAAACTTCCAGGGGTCACACCTCAACATGTCCTCAAATATCTCCTGTGTTTGTGTAGGTATGTTCCTCTTCCAACTGGTTGCTTGTGCATTGTTTTGTTGGATTCCAATATCTTCTGCCATGTTCGGTTCCCTTAAATTCTTTCCATGTGAGCTCTTTCCATGTGGGCAGGCATAGGCTGACAATCAGGTTTGCACCGAGCAAACGGGATGAGATGGTTTCTTTCTGTCTCAGCTGTGAGCTTTTGAGTGATACTACGGGGACTTGAAGCAAAGCTCACCCGACTTGCACGAAAACGCTTCTTCCACATGGGGTCATGGGCAAGCCATGGCAAGAAGGCCCACGACGAGGTGATGAGAACGACCTCACCACAGGTGTTTTGCTAATCAAAGAACCTTTACTGGAGCCCACATGCCAAGTGCAAGACAATCCTTGGAAGAAGGTCTTTCTACAAGGGCAAAGGAGCTTAGCAAGCAAGCGGTCAAACGGAAGCGCCACGCTCGAGATTGAACGCTGGCATGCCACAACTTCAGTATGACTCAAGTTCCTTGTCATCTAGCTCCACTTCGCCTTCCTCATCTTTATTTGCCAAGTGATTCTGCTCAGAACAATTGAAAAAGGTTTCATTTGCATGCAGCGCAAGGAATTCCTATGTTCTCAACTACCTCAAGCACACACCACTCCAGCAGACAAAAAATAGCAAAATCGGTTTTGGCACAAGCTCGCGCAAACCGTTGAGGATAAGCCCCCGCGCAAGCTCCTAACTGTGGTCGCGTAAGCATCCCGCAAGAAATTTCAAGCAAGAATGAATATTGTCAATGTCGTTTACAAGGAGGTGTTGAACACCGCTCAACTAGCATATGCACTGCAAGTTTAGCATACGGTATGACAACCTTTTCCCAGTGCCTTTTTGGTTTGTGGGGCTTTGATCTCTACCAGCAGCATGAAGAAATGTGAGGTACATACAAATACTCCGGCGTTGCTGTAAAGCCCTTCCCTGAGACTGACTTTCTGGCAGAGATTCGGAAGAAATGTGTGGAGATTGCTGGGCTTCCAGTGCAGCCCAACAGTTGCAACATCAATTTGTACCGGGACGGCCATGATGCGGTCGGCTGGCACACGGACGACGAGCCTTTGTTTGAAGGTGACTACAATGACATTTGCATTCTAAGCTTGTCGCTGGGATCTTCTCGAACTTTCCAGGTGAAGAAGAAGGGAGGGAAGCGAGATGTCGCCTTGAAATCCTTCGTCGTCTCGCACGGAGATCTTTGCACCATGGAAGGCCGCTTCCAACGGCATTATCTCCATGCGATTCAAAGAGAGCCCGAAGTGGCCGAGCCCAGGATCAATCTGACCTGGCGCTATATCACCAAGCACAATCATTCTGATGGCTGTAACTTGCAGGGAGAGGGGAACTAGGTGAACTAAGTTCCCCGGAGCATGGTGAAGTCGCCGTGCTGCTTCTCTCGAGTTGTGTAGAAGCTCAGACCCATCGCTCAGACTTGTTCAATCTCTCCAAAAAGCATAGTGCTCTCCTTGCAGTCGTCAGAGCCAAACCTGTTGTGGGCTCAGTTGATGGCTTTCTCAATCTCCTCTTCTTTGTGCGCCCTTACACACGAATAGAAAGTTCATGTCATTTGCACACAGAAGAACATTCCAAAGGTCCAAGCAGTCAAGCACCAGAAAGCTCCGCCCATTTCGGCAAACGTCGCATGTGATCCATGATGATCCATGTTCAAATCTAATTACCCCTCATTGGTCAATACAAAACTGACCATCCAACATGTAGCGGCCGCTCCGGAAGATAGCTCAGGTGTGGTCTGTGGATCATATTAAAGACTCCGAGCTTTTTGCTCAGCTTCTCTCCCTGAGACATGGCCTCAGAATGCCTCAGAGATCTTTGTGCGAAGTCTGGAGGTTCTTTAACCCCTTCAAAGAATGTTGTCACTTTCCAACGAGTCAGAGCCAGACATGATTCCCTGATTCCCTTTCAATGTCAAAACTCGTTCGAGGTCGAAGCCCCAGCATGATTTTGCAGCAAGTGATGCCCTCCAACCTTTGCAGTTTACTCCGCACGGAGCCTTAGCAGTCAGCAGAGCACAAATTGCAGTTCCATGTATAAAACGAGTTATACACATATTATATATATATATTATATAAGTAAGTTCCATGGGGAAATGATTGTAGCATATGGTAGCAATCTAGCAGTGCTTCACATTCGTAGCGCCTCTTGATATGTGTCTGCTTTATGGGCAGAATGGCAGAACATGATACCCCTATATATAGCTGGCTGAGTAAGTTACAGCTTACAAAGAAGCTTTGTTCTTAAGCGGATATCGAAGGTCCAGGCGGTGAAAGCCATTGACTGACCAAGAAGAATGAAAACAGAAAGAGGCTTTGTTCAGATTCAGGATACTTGTAGTTCATGTGCCGTGTCTTGAACATCACATGTTTGAATCAACAGGTTTATGGCAATGTTTGAATCCGGTTCAGCCGACCTGCAGCAAGCTTAAAATCATTCGGAATCCTGAGAAACTACCGGCATGGATCAAAACTAGACCCAAAGAGAGCGGTCAACATTTGTCTATACCAAGGTTGAATACACCAAAACCTGACCCAGTAAACCCAATAAGGAAAAGTGTGAACAACAGGGTGCATTCGGTCAACACCGTCCAGCTCTTAGGCCTCTCCAACACAGCAGCTCCAACTGCTGTGCAACTGGCGCGCATCATTCTACAGCATGCGTTCTTGGCTAAGCATGAATCAATTGATATCAATTGTAACATAGTGAAGCAAAAATAACCGCTGCATGCATGAAATCATAGCACAGAGGGGGTTGACATAGAAAGAGGTCTTCTCCAACAAGTCTTGGAGAGTCTACTGGCCATGCGAAGGGTGTGTGAAAACAAAGCCAGAGTTTGCCCTTGGATGAGGCCTGTGGACAACTCTAACACCAGCCAGGCCTGAGAAACATCGTGAAACATCTAGAACTGATTAGGGAAACAAGTCGATGTATGTGTTAGGTCGCTGTTTTCCAATGACCAGTTCGAGAATTGAGAAGTATTGGAACGCCGTTATATCCAAGTACCCAATGGCGCAGCACAAGGCGAACCCGCTACCGAGGCCTCACTTCAGATGCTCAAAGGTGCGACATGATCCACCCAAGAGAAGTGCTTAAAGCTCAAGCACAGCTGCCCAGGGGTGGATCAGATCCGCGTGATGGCCACGTGTCGTTCTCGCTTCCGCGTCTTCCGATCATGGCCGCGTGTCTCCCGGATTCGAGGCTCGTGCAGCCATTGCAGATGCATGGAGTCCCTGTCGATGCTCGAGATGCCTTTCAACCGACTTCTTTGATGCTGGCAATAAAACACGATGACATCAGCACCGTGAGAGATCTTCTGAAAGCAAAGGCAAATGTGAAGGCACAGGATGGTTTCGGGACCACTCCACTTGCCACAGCAATTCAACTGGGGCATCACTACTCCATGTTTTTGCTTCTGGAATATGGAGCGCTATGTACACTTCAAACAGCAGATCACCAGGGCATCCGCCCGCTTCACATAGCCGCGTCGGTGGGGGATTTGCTCGTCGTGAAGCTCTTGGTGAAATTCCATGGAAATCCCGTCACCAAAGATCACTCTGGTCGATCCGCCCTCGACTTTGCAGCTTTGTCCGGCCATACAGATGTTTTGGACTTCTTGATAAACGTCCTCCAAGATGGGGACGAAGATGGCGATTCTGATGGTCACCGTCACCGTCTTGCAGGCAAGAGGTCCGTTTCCAGTTGCCAGGACATGATGCAAGTTTCTTTAGACTGGCTCATTCATCAAGTAATGTACCCAGATCCTCTCACGCGCAAGGCTGTGCCGATCTTTTGTCATGTCGCATGTGCGTGTGCAGTTTGGGAGCATTGGCTTACTTCCCGACCCTTCCGATGGCTGCAGATGCCGAAGATCACCACATGCTTCGAGTGTTTGTTGCCTGTGGTGTTGGGCTTTGCGCAGTGCATTATCCGAATGGATCCTGGTGTCATTCAAAAGCAGAAAGATTCGGGCATCAAGGAGCTGATATCCATGCTGGAGAAAGGAGTGTTGCGGGAGAGCTTGCCCAAGACGAGACAGCTTTGCACGAGCACGTGGGTTCTAAAGGGTCTTCGGACCAAGTACTGCAGACAGACAGGCACTCACTTTGTTTCATTGTTTTTTGAGTTACTTTCTTGTTCGACTGTATTGTGTTATTTATGAATATGGGTTGGGTCTGTCCAATTACCCGTGACAATCAATAAACAATGGTCACCATTTTTGAACAAGGCCTTTACTGAGTATCATCCACTGGGCCCTGGTAGTGGGATAGACCGATAGACCGATAGACTCAAAATATGGGGCATTCAACTCGCCTGTCTATGAAGTATGCAATGAAGCCTTTGTTGCGCAAGGCTTCGCTGCACCCTGTTATGCCCTTTTTCCTGCAGGCACCTGCATCGAAGAGTTTGACCACTTCTGCATTTTGCTGGATGTTCCCATTGGCAGAGGCAACCATCGGCCATTCCTGCTTTTGATGTTTTTGGAGGTGGTTGCCCAGCTGAGCCACAGCATGTTATGCATTTGCACCCTCATCCTGGAAGCACCTCCAGCCGGAATTCGCGGCGTGGTGACCAATTGTACACAGCATCCCATGGTGGCATGTCTTTTTGCACTGCATTGTGCCACCATTCCAGGCATCATGTTTCTGATCCTTGTCCAAGCTGCTTTGATCTCGCAGAACCTTACCATGAATGAGATAATGCACATGCGAAGGTACGAACATTTCTGGTCAGCTGATCAGCGCTTTACAAACCCCTTCAGCAAAGGAAGCGTCGTTCGGAATTGCTTGGACTTCTGGTGGACGCGCACTCGTGGCAGGCCGAGGTTAGGTGAGCCCCTGACTTCTTTGTAAGTATGGGGAGTGCTTAGATCGCCCATCTCCTAGACACAACATCGTTGCCCTTGATGACAATGGTAATATTATATGCTCCTGCAACAGCAAAGGACCAAATTCTTGCACACAAGTGAGATTCACTGAGAATCTCTGCGAAGCTGCGATTGACTGAGATCCAATTTCCAACCGTCTTGACACGGCTGGCTTCAGCCTCGGACCTGCGAAGCTGCAGATCACCGGATGGAGCCAGAGCTGAGAAGAGCGTCGAACCAGTGTCGGTCACCGTGAACACCTTCATTGCTGGGAAGCCCAAGTTCGGGCGGGTTCCGCCTGGGGCGGGTTCCGCCTGCGGTTCCGTTCTTTGAAGCTCAGCCTGCTCACAGGTACAAACTGTGTCGCATTGAGGGAGTGCAAACATATCTCACGCATTCTCAGACGGAATATTGGACGATTTTTATTGGTTTTGATCGCAATTGCGCACCTAAGAGGTTGACCGACCACGATGTTTGTCATTATGGACAGTGGCGCTGGCCTTAGTTGTGGCATTGCCGTAGGATAAAACTAAGTCCCTTAGTAGAAACTCTACACATGCTATTGGGTAATCTTTTTTGGAACGCAGATGCTTGTTGGACATGGGTGTGATATTTTGGACCACGTCTTTGCTCAAAAGCCTTACTTTTCTCAGATAGTATATCTATATACTGTGTGTACATATCCGCATTGCATGTGTGGGCCACATGGGGACAAAGCAACGTCCGACTGAGATCCTGCACGACCAGCAGGAGTTGAATTGAAGCTCGGCTGCACGAAGGAAGCACAAAGACTTGACATGAAGGGCGGGCCACATGTTTCGCGGATATTCCAAAGCCAGAAATGGCCTGTTTGGGTCGTAAGCATCTCTGGGGTCACCGATGTCAAGCTGGATCCAACCGAACAGGGGTTGCCAGACCGATGGTTCGGATCCGAAAAGGCTGGCGGCGAAAAACGCGATGCCCTTGGTTCCGTTCGTAGTAAGGCCAGGAGCGCCCCGTTCGGTTCGCGTCCGAACGCTCCGTTCGCAGCGATGCCCCCTTGTTCCGATCGTAGCTTTTGCCCACAATGGGCCGCTGCCTTTTTCAGGCGTGGATGTTTTGCGACTGGCTGGCGGTCCAGCAGACCTGCACTAAGACTGGTTCGACCAATTCGATGAAACATGTAGAACAGATAGAATGTAAAGGACTGAAGCCTTTTCAGGTCTTGACCTTTGAAAAAGTCGGAATTGTTGGAACTGTCTCCTTTAACGGTGCCATGCCCAGGCCTTGCTCGAGGCCTTGCTTTGGGCAAGAGATTGGAGTACTGAGCGCAGGAGTACGGCAGGGGTGCCCGACAAAACCGAGCTTTCGATCCGACGATGGACCCGATGGGACCTGGGCCCAGTGGCAGATCTGCCCAGAAGACATCAGGGAGGAGTTTCTTTTTGGAACTTGAATGGCCTGAATCTGGGAATGACATCGAAAGGCTGCTTTAGCAAATGGATGGAGGAGTGGCACGCATGTCATACTTATTCATACTTCATGCAGTAGAAAATATTGACCTAGAGGCACTCAAATAAAGGCGATGTCAATTTTCTGGGAGGCAGGCCATGACCTTCATATTCCTTCGTTGTTCCTGCATTTGTGTAGCTTAAACTTTGGCAAACCTTCTTGTGATTGTGCAAGAAGCCCGGATGCACTGCATTTGGAATTTGGAATTGTTGAATGTATATACTTCACTGACCTCATTAGATGCTGCTACTGAGGCCCCTGCACAAGCAAGGACACATTTGCTGCAGCAACTTCTGGCGTTGCTCTCCTGCTGTTGTGCGGAGCCCCGCTTCGCACGTACATTGAGAAAGTTCCTTTGGTGTTTGAAGAACGGGTCTGACATCCAGCGTTCTTGCAAAGCATCCGTTGCGTTCATTTTTTTTGTCATAGTAAAGGGTAGCTAAGTGTAGGAGGGTTCTTGTTTCAGAGAGTTGCCCTGCAAAATCAGAGGATGTTCCACAAGATGTCCTCCCAGTTTTGGATGACCACTGGATGTCCTGACACATTTAAACCATAAAAATACAACCTTCCTGTCGACTCGTTTTTTCAACTGCTCAAGCCATGGATGGACCAGGTCGAAATCCCATTGGAACTGATGTCTCCAACGAGTGGATTCCTTGGAGTCGGCGATGCAAACAGACGCAAACAGTTTTTGCATGGATATGGTGGATATGATGTGCCATGTGCATCAAAGAGTGGAGTTCCAATGCTTGTTGTTGAGCTTCAGGAATGTCTATCATGTGTTTTTTCACTCGATAAACGTGTGTCCAAGCACCACCAATGCTGCCAGGGTGTAGTCGAAGCAGGACAAAAACTCCTTTGCTTGTAGGATCTTAAGAGTGATATATGATTGATACGATGCTAGCATGTCGGAAGGTGTGAGTTCTGAATTCTGACAATATCCAGAATAAGTAGAATTGTTAGAAAAGCCTAGGCCCACTAGGTTGCCACTCCATCAACTTGTCCTCTTGTGGACTGGCAGCTTTGGATGTTTGCCAAGCACCCAGATCTTGTGTTCTTGCCATTGCAATGCTATAGTGAGCTTTGTAATATCGCTGGTGCTTGTACTTGAACCATTTAGATCTTAAGACTTGTCAGCTAGGCTGAAAGCAGCCTCACCTGCACAAGAAAAGGCGGGTCACTCAACTCCTCTTTCTCTCTCGGCAGCAGGAGACAAGTATCACAGCAGCATTTTGCCCACCCACGAAAAGAATACCTAGGTGTGGCGAAAGCGGCATGCGGAATCTGGTGGTGTCATGCAAAGACCTTGGAGCTTTGCCCCCCTACATTCTGCTGGGCGCTAAGCCCTATGACTTGGCCCGGTTCCCCTGTGAGGTCGGCAGAGTTCCTAGTGCGAGGTGAATTACCTCCAGCTTTGCCACAAGCAAGACTTTGTGAGGCACGAAGATCACGTGACATTTCGTGTCGGTTGGAGGTTGGAACGACCAATTCCACGCCGAATTGAGAGTTGTGGTGTCAGGTATGTATGAGGGGGAGCTCGCATGATGCGGATGGTGTACTAGCAGAGCAGTCGTTCCCAACAGTTGAGCACCCCGAACGCGGTCGCTGCCAGGTGTTGCAAAGAGTGGCCGAAGTGCAAGCAGATTGGCCCATGGAGGTGGGACAGATGACAGCGTCAAAATCTGGGCTCATTCTTGCGGACCATCCCATGTATTTTATGATACTTTATGGATGTTGTGGTCCATCGGTTTTTGTCTTCGAAAAGAAAGAAAGAGTCAGAGTCAGCTGTAGAAATCTTCTACAAATTGACGGGTCGGTCTCAACTTCCTGTTGGTCGAGGTTCGGCTCTTGTGGCGAGTCCTCCACTCCAGAAGCACTGCACGAGAGGCGAAGCGTCGAGCCAACACCGAACCATGATTATCGTGCTGCCAAGGTTAATGTGTGTGTAGAGTATTGTAGAGTATCTATATCGATCTATAGATATCTATAGAATCATGTATGGAATATGATGGAATTATGTACAGTAATTAAGAAATAAGATCATTTGGCATCACCCGACTTGTAGGTGGATTGGCGTCGTTTCAGGGGAGACATCGGGTTTTTTTCGTATGATCAGAGTTTTTTGTGATGTCCTTCTTGGCGTTGGGTTCAACCTCGGCATAGTTTTGACTTTGTGGCCAAGTCGATTTCATGGTGGCAAGGTGAGCAAGCTTTGGATGGCAGCACCCTATACAATGCAGGAAGGGTCTGCTGTCCGCTTGTCCCGCGAATCATTCCAGAGCACTGGCTTTTCCGTGCCTTCACAGCGGGATCTGATAGAGTGGTGGATTAGATCAGATATCAGTAGGGAATGCTATTGCAAGTTTGGAGAGCTACCTGGATTGCGGCCAGGGCTACCTGGGTGAGGCCAAAGAATGCCTAGACAAATGAGATCCATTGAGGTTTCAAAGTGTTCTGCGAGCCACCCTGAGGGCCTAAAAGACCGTGTATATAGACCGGTATAAGGAATCTAGACGAGTATGAGCAAACCCCAAAGATCTCCTCAAGATCTGTGTGCCGTTCTGAAATAATCACACAAACATCTCTTCCAAAGATGGAGGAATGCGATGCATGCCCCTTCCATTCCTCAGGACATCTCTTCTGAGGCGTGCGGCCCAGTGGAGAAAAATCACCGAAGCACTCGTTGCATCTCGTTGTGCTCCGCACGGATTCTTTGAGGTTGAATCTGTGGGAGTCTCAGATGGACCGACTATAGTGGGTACGTTCTCGAACGTGCGAGTTTGTCCGCGCGCTTCGTGGGTACGTTCTCACTGTGGACCCGACACGGTGGACCTTACACCGCACGGCTCTGTGCTGGCTGAGGCTCCTGTGCATGAGATGTTTATACCTGGCCTGGGGCTCAGCTGTTGAGGCGGAAACGAGGTCCATCCATCATTCATACCAAGGCCTACCTGCGTGGACAAGAGATCGACACCTGACAAAAACCATCAAAGACACAAAATCGGTCTCTTTTTCAGGATGGATCTGCCGACTCAGGCATCATAGCTGCGTCAGGCACTCTCAGCCGCAGCCTGCAGAAATGCCTACTGTGCACTGGCTGCCAGGCATCGCGTGAGAGTGATCAGATCTGGCAGAAACATTTGCAACATAGTAGAAAAAAGTTAGCCTTTTTCCAAAAACTGAGTACAGAATAAAACCTCTTCTCAAGAGAGCGTCTCACAGTCAAGAGCTTGGTGTGCCGGAGGTCCCCCCAGGAGTCTCTCCTGCATCCTTTGTGGCGGCATGTGCCGACGCCCGAACCTCACAGAATTGCACAAAGAAAGAAGCACGTGGCCACATGTAGCAGACTGGGGGTTCCGTCCGACTCGGCAGATGTCTTTCTTTTGGATGTACTGCACCTCCGGCGCAGCCTCCGGCTTGCAGCACCTTTTCAGTACGAGGCCCTCAACGAACTCCGCAATGCTGATCAACTACGCCAAGTCCGCGTTCAGGGTCCAGGTATCCAGTATTGGGACCGAGCTGGAGCTGTTTGATATTGTTTGATGTTTGTGTTGACAGGTGCCGCAGCGGTACAGCGCCTGGTGCAGGAGGATGTGGGAGTGCATTCCCTCATAGAGATGTGAGATATCAATTTGTTACATCGAGTCTTCAATTTGTTGCATGCAGGAGACCTAAGAGGAGATCTAAGTGGACGAGAATTGGATGCCTGAGCCAACATTGTTGGACCAAACAAGCAGGAGCAGTGCGGTGTCATCGTCTAGAAGCAGTCAAGCAGATAGACCCGGAGCAAATCTGAATGCCTAGAGATCAGCTTAAAGATTGCTTGAATTAATATAATATATAGTATCTCTATACACATTATATATTATATATTAATATATATTCTCTCTATATAGAGAGAGAGGGTAGATAGAATTTCCCTTATTGAACTTAGAATAAAATAGCTGGAATTAATTCCTAAAGGTTGATAATTTTTTGTTGACGGCGGCTATGTGAGAAGGTTAAAAGTTGTCTGATTATTTTTATATAAATTGGGATGTAATGAAATATAGTTTAATATATTTATATATATTTATTTTAGCAAAACGATGAATTATCGAGATTTGATATATTTAGCAATTAATATTCTATAAAAAAGGAATATATTGGACAAAAATAGCATATTAAAGGAATATAAGATCGAATAGGAATATTATTTATGTTATGGTTAGGATAAGAGGTTTTTTGGCGGGATGCGGTGATAATTCTTACTTTGAATAATATATATTCGTAGGACCATCGGGGAGGAGGCGGAAAATTAACACTTGAATTTGGAATGATTGGTTTGAGGATGTCGTAGGTTCGATTGGCACGAACATGTTTAGTGTTGTTTGCGCATGTTGAATTTTTGTAAAGGTTCTTTACGATTAGGCGTATGTATTGGATGGATATAAATTCTTTATAAATATATTATTTTAATATTTGGATGTTTTATAAAGAAACATTTTTATGAATTTAAGATTATGATGAAAATTGATATAATGTATTGTACGTTAAATAGTAATGCTATTTGATGAGATCGAAATATCGGATTAGGCGAATTATGGGCTTTATTTCTCTTTTATAGGTGAGAATGGATT